ATCACGGGTTTTTAGGGTAGGCTTCAAGGAGTCTTTACGCTGTGTAATTTCAATATTTGGAGTGTTTGTGTGTTGAACCAGACACCTTGTGCATCTTTAGAAAAGATAGATTTCTAAATTTAGACAAAGGGCTTATTTCCACGTAATACAGGAACTCTTAGATCTTGTGGTTGTGGAACATGAAATGCATACATTTGATTGGAGTTAAAAAAACATGGCTGAATGTAGGCTGAAAGGGCAAAATTACTTGGAATTTCATGATGCATGGATTTTGAGGTTGGAAACGGTTGCAGAAAACGTATATGGGGACCGCAGAAATATTTACGTATGCTCTGGAGACATAGCTACTGCGGTTTATGTTTTATTTCTGGTATTTTTTTTTCCTCAGATGCTGCTACAAGAATTTGGAGGACTTGGGTCTTGAATTATCATTTCCTGAGACAAACAGCTCCTTGATCCTAGTGAGGAAAGTGCCACTGTGTTTTATAGAAAGAGAAGCCAATGAATTACGACGGAAAAGACAGCCAGTCACTAAAAGCATTGTGGAGGTCAGCCGTGGGTATGGGTGAAATTGTGATACTGCGTCTTGTTCTGTGTTAGTGGTCCAGGATATCTCTGTTATGGGGGGAACAGTGAAGTCCCTTGACAAATGTGGGTGCCATCCCTTTTAGTAATTAAATAGTCCTCCAGCTGAAATCCCTGAACTATAACAAAAACCATAGGAGATTGTTTTCAGACTTGGACTAGTGGAGAAGCTAAGAAAAATGGTCTATATAGTGCAGATGTTTCAACAGTTTACTGCTCATCAATGTTGGAATGAACAGTAAATGCTTGAATGAACAGTAAAATTATTAATACTGCTGATACAGAAATATTATTTGTTAGGATTCAAAGTTGTTTTCATGAAATCTCTATGTGGGGAGTGCAGCTTTCTAGAAGCTGCTGTTCCAGATGTTCTGCAGTTTGAGGAAGAAACTGCTGAACTGGTTACTTGCAGTTTCCATTTTAAACAATTCTCCACAACCAAAACTGCTTCAAGGACTCCTTAAAAATGGTTTCTCGAGTACCTTGTTCAGCCACTAGGCTGAGCCATTGTGAATCAGTCCAGTCTTGCCATGCATCTCTTTCGATATAAAAGAAGAAGCAGAGAAGATGATTCATCTGATTTTATTTTCTTTTCCAACCTTGCTATAATCAAGAAGAACTCAAAATGCACTCTCCTGGTGTGATTTGGGAGCCAAGAGTACTGAAAGTGGGGGAGGAGGGGATCAGGTGTGTGCCTCCCGGGCACTCATTTGTAGCTGATGCCTCAAGATCTCATGAGCGTTTTGGCAGATCTATTCTGCAGTCCTTTTTATTTTAATTAAGACTGGTAGCACCTATTCATGCAGAGGGAAACTAGGTGATTAGTCTAAAGTTACTTGTGAGAGGTCAGGACTGGCGCCTAGATCTGTCACACTGTGGTCGATGTGCTGGCAATGGCATCAGTTTTCCTGGTCCTGGCAGTTACACAGTAAATTATCCACAGATGTGGACAAAGCAGGGTATGGGCAGTGAAAGGGAGAAAGAGCAACTGATGATATTACTTTTTTCTTTCCAGGAGCTTATTCAAGAACAAGTTGAGGTGAGTTGCTGTCTGCTTCTAAAGTGGACTGTAATAATGCAAAGCTTACTGTGTGAACCAAAGGGAGTGGGTTAAGCCTCAAATGAGAGAAGTGTCCTAGATAATCCTCCAGCTTTTCCTCATTTTTACTTTCCTTTGTGCTACAGTTCTTCCTTTTTCTCATATTATAAAGTAAGATGATGTTCCCTTACTACTTTTAGCTGGTGCAGACCACAGGAGGAGGAACGCGAGGGACACTGCCTCTGACGTTTCTGAAGGTGTTAGCTTCCCAGGCCTGTCATGGTAAAGAAACTGTACTTTTCTTTCACACTTTCTTTTTTAATTTTTTGTTCTGTTTTTTTAACCTTTCTGTCTCTACCCATCCTCCTCCCTGGGGCAGTGGTTTCAGAATGTGTGTGCAGGAATTCCAGGATTACAGACCGTGTGTTTCATAGGGATGAGGAGGTAACGGTCTTTTCATGGACAGCACCATGAGGAACAAGCAATGCTGCACTGATTTATTCATGTATGGGCCTAGCATACTTTACAACCTTCACATGAAACACAGAACACAGTTCTGAGATGCACCCACCTGTGGGAGCTCTAAACCATTTGAATAACAGCTCTGCAAAGGGACATGGGGAGGTGCTGGAATCTGCTTGAAAGCAAGCAGGATAGAAGACTTAGACACTGTTTCCAAAAAACATTTTTTATTTCATATAGGTATCAAAAGAGCTAGTTTCAGTGTGCCTTTCAAGTATTTTTGGAAGGAGTGCAGTAGGAATTTACATCTTCTAAGGATCTATGGCTTTCCAGCACCTGGAAATGAGCAGACCTTACAGGTGTAGACTGCAGTAGCTCCAGCCCCTGGTGGCAGTTCCTGTGCCATGTACAGCAGTGACAAGAGTATGCTGAGAGGGCAAACACGAACCAAAAGCATCTGTTTTCACAAAGTGTCACTGCATTCTACAAAAGGCAGACTATATATATATATTTTTTTATGTATCCAAAGAAGCCCCATGGCCGAAAGGGGCAGTTCCTGTGCCATGTACAGCAGTGACAAGAGTATGCTGAGAGGGCAAACACGAACCAAAAGCATCTCTTTTCACAAAGTGTCACTGCATTCTACAAATGGCAGACAATATATATATTTTTTTTATGTATCCAAAGAAGCCCCATGGTCGAAAGGCAGATTGCATCTTGTGCATCTCTGAAGGCTAAAGATTGCAGACACCTCTGAAATGACTCCTTCATGTTCTGCTTGGATTTCCTCTGGATGCCATTTAGTGCTCACTTGTGAGAAAGTACTTAGTGGCAGGACTAGCATTTGGTCTTGGAACTGATGCCTGTCAGTGGCAGGCACACAGAACTGATAGTAGCTGTTGTCTTGGTTTAATAGTTTCTGATTTGTGAATTGATTGCATCTTCAGCTGTCACTAGCATGACAAAAAAAAAGAAAAGGTAGCCCAGTTGCCTCTTGCAACATCATCTGAAAAGCCAAAACCCAGTGCCATCCATCAGACTTGGGTTGGGTGGAACTTGAGGCCATGGCAAGCTGATCCCTGTGCAGCAGGCTGGTTAATTGAGCTGAGCCCTAAGTCTGCTGTACTGTGGCCTTTGGGCTGCCTTTGCAGCCTCCCAGCTCATCTTTGGGAGCTGCCCTGTTTTCTGTGAAAACCACAGCTGTGGAGGGAAGTCTGCTGGGTGGTTTGAAGTCTCTTTGGCAGTGTGTGCAAGAATTTCTATCTCTTTTTTTCAGGAGCTATTAAGTTTAATGAACATTTGACTTTGGAGGAGAGCTGCAGGCTTATTGAAGCTTTGTCATCTTGCCAGCTGCCTTTCCAGTGTGCTCATGGAAGACCGTCCATGATGCCTCTTGCAGACGTAGACCATCTACAGCAGGAAAAGCAGGTACTGTGTGGGACACAGATACGCCTCAGATAATCCACATTTGGGATTATCAGAGGGATGTCGTTTATGTTTGTGTTAGAGCTAGAATGGACCAGTTTGAAAGTCACCACCTGCTGATCATCACTACTTTATTTTTCACATGGCTGTTACCCATAAAATAAAACTTTAGAACATTAAACCTCAGTCCTGCAAACACTTTAGCAAGGGTCCTACCATATTTCATTTGAATGGTCACATTGACTTGACTAGGGTTTACTAGTCCTTAAAGTTAAGCATATATTTAAAGTGTTTGCAGGTTTTAAGTGTAAAACTTGGAAAATGTGTAAATTCTGATATTCTACTGATGGCAAAGATGCTTATTAAACAAATGCCTACTTCTCCAAAGTTTAAGATGCTGTAAAATGGAGGAAAAATGGCAAAGAAACAGCAACATTTAAATATTTTTTAAAAATCATTACTCCTTCCTTTTGGCTATTATTATACTGTATTAAGCTATGGAATTGGATTCTGTTGAAAGTCAGGTGGGACTTCGAATTAGGTATTAAAAAAAACTTGGAAGTGACTGCATTAGGGCAAAGTGCATGGAGGCATTGAAATTCTACTTCGTTATGATTTAGTGTGTCTTACTTCTTTCTCCCTCCAGCCTAAACCTAACTTGGCAAGACTGCGGAAGATGGTGCGAGCATGGCACCTATTTGGGAAAAAAAAAAGACCTTAATCAAAAAAAGTTAATAAGCTGCAACCACTAGAAGTGTTGGTATGATCCAGGTCCCCCTGTTGTTAGACAGCAATACCCTACGTGGAGTCAAGTTTCTGAGCCAGTGTGGTCACTGAAGTTCTGCTCCAAGTACTGACCCAAGAAGCAGAGACCAGCCCGGAGAACGTGGCAGAAGGAGCCCACGCTGCAGCCTGGAGAAGCTTTTTCAGTGTAAGCCTGGGCCTAATCAGTGCTCGACTACTGGAGGCAAGAAGCTGTAGCCACTCGCAGTTACTAAGGTGCTTTACCTCTGCAAGCACAGAATTAATCTGCATAATAGAAGACTTTTAATTAATGTCTTTTATAGTGCTTTGAAAATGGGGAGGTATTTATTAATAAAATTAACACAAAATTCTTTGGACTCATGGCAGTGGTTGGAATGAGGACTGACCAGCTTCATAGTATATGTAGGCCAACGTAGGATCAAAAAACATTCTTCTTCTTTAACTAGGCAATGAACACCACACCCAGCTGTTTGCATTCTTGAGCGAGAGATTTCTAAATCCTAGCATAGCCCCATGTTCTCAGGGTACAGAAACTTACCCCTACAGAAATAACTAAATAGCCCACAGCATTTTTTTTACAATAGACTTTTTTTTACAGATTCCAGTTCTATTTTGTGTGGAGGAGCAGAGTTTATTTCAGAACGGTAAAAGATGACATCTTTGTTCAATCACAGACATCCAACTTAAAACCAAATCAGATAGGTATTGGCATCTGCTGAATCAAAAGTAACAGCCTAGCTGCCCCAGAGAGTTACACACGTGCCTTGCTGTTTCAAAATCGAAGTGAGTTATCAGCTCCATGTGGCTTGTAAAACAGCACAGGGATCAGTACCTGTACAAGAGCTCTGCCTTCTGTTGCTTTTGGGTTGCAAAGACATTGTGCTGAGCAAATTCTCCAAGGCAACCCACCCTGGCAATGTACACTTTAATTAGCTGTTCTGTCTTTCTAAAGAGAAAGACAGGAAAAGTGGAGAGTGGCGTGCGGCATTAGAGTTCATAGTCATCTGGGTGGTAGAGCTCACTCATGAGGCGGTAGATGTAGGAAGGCGCGTTACCCCCAATGTTAGAAATGAAGAGAGTGATGAGCTCTGGAGGGACGTAGTCAAACACTGGGCAGTGAACGTTGATCTTTGCCAGGATCTCCCCTGTAAAGTGAATAGCAACAATATTAGACAAAGCAACTCAAAGTAAACTTAGCCTTCTGCGTGTCATCCTGAGCCCCTGAAGAAACCAGCCACGCACACGCCACCCTAAAGTCTGTACGGGGACATCCAACTTCCTTGCTGATGGCACTGAATTACAGGTATACAGCAATCTTGGATGAGTGGCAACACTCTTCTGGTAGTTTTTCTGATAGTCACCCCAAATCCCCTCTGGTGTAGACTTACTAATTGCCAGGAAAACCTGCCAGTAAATAATCAGAATGCAAGAATCCTGATGCTGCCACGGTTATTTCTTCAACGAAAGCTTCAAACCAAAAACCTGTGCCAAACCCGGTTTGTTTGTCTATTTGTCACATAGAAATGGGGCTTTGAAAGAGACTCTACAATCTGAAAATGGGCTTGGGAACTGATGCCTTTCTAAAGATGGTGCTTGTGTGGGAAGCCCATTGTGGAGATACTGGGTTTCAATAAGTGGGTCACATAACCAGGTTTCAAGAAGTTAACATGAGTTGTAGGAAGGAAAGGAAGCTGCCCTCAGTGTTGGGCATCTGCAGGGCAGGAAACTGCCACCTACCTGGCACCATTATCACATCCTATAATAAAACACCATTTCAGGGCAGAAGCAAAAGTGCAAAGATGGTGTTCAAAGGAAATCCTTTTTCTTTACTTTCTGTAATAGGAAGTTATGTATAAAATAGGATGGTTCCCAGCACTTTGATCTGCTTAAGACAGTAGGAAAGGATTTTCTGTCTTGGGTTACAGGAAAATCTTGTATTTAAATTTTATGTGATCTATAAGAAAAAATAATAAATTATAGCCTGAGCCAGCTTGACCAGCCTGTATGAAGAAGAACCAGTACCTTCTGTGAACGGCAGCACTTCCTGTGGTGACACAAACTTGTGGAATGAATCTTCTTCATTAGGGAACTGAAAGAGAGAGAGTACAGGAAGGTCAGGAAAAAAGAGACTGCCTCATCATCCAAGTGAAAACAGATCTGGGGTGCTGGAAGGAACTAAAGCAGAGGAAGATTACTTTCCCAGGTGACACTACATCGGTTTAATAGTGATCGTGCCTGGAATCTCTGTAACATCTACAGGTGAAATGTTTTTCCTCAAGAGCTTTTAGAGCCTTCTATGACCTGGATGCCCTTCTGCAAAGCCTGGAGAACTGGAGCAGAGAAATGACTTCCTCAGTCTGCAACTTCATCTGACAATACTGAAAAAGCACAGTCCAAGAAGCAGCTTAGAGCATCTCTGTCCATCTCCTCTGTCGGTACAGAGGGACTTTCAACACTAAAGAAATAAACTGAAATCCTCTGTGGTTAAAGAAAAATAAGTATGGTGATGGGAGCCTCTAGTAGCCAGTGGTCTACATCTTTATATCCCATGTACTGCTCACTCAGCACAGGTGGCAGAGGAGGGTGCTTCAAGGAGATCCTGAGGTGTGCCAGATTTGGGTGAGGATCTCCTAGCTGAAGTAACAGCACTAGATGGTGGAAGACAGCTTGGGACAGGTGGTACTCTCCATCCTAAGCTCCCACAAGCATAAATTCACTGCCCATCTCTGTGCAGAGCAGGTGCAGTCCTGAGGAGGTGCAGTCCTTACCTGCGGTGAAAGCTTGAACATGGGGGCACACACGATGAGTGGAGTGGAGTGGTGCTTGGCTGCCAGCGCCAGAGTGTGAGTCCCACTGACGGCAATCAGGGCGCCGTTGGCCAGGATTGTCTTTGTACCTATGATGACCTTCAAAGGCAAATCAGCGTTAGACAGCATGTTCCATGGCAAACTGGAGACAGAACGCTTCCTGGCTCAGACCCTGCAGGATGAGCTGGAGGAAGAGTTTGTCAGGACACCAAAGGCTGGAGTTACAGGGCAGCTGGATGCCTGATCTGTTTCCTCTGGCACTGGCTGTGCACTGAGACGTTCCTCTCTTAACAAGAGCACGACTCCAGCATGGTGAGGCCAGCACAAAGAACTATGTTCTACTGCAGGGAACACCAAGCAGAAACTGGGCTGTGTTCCCTGTTGTTCTACAAGGCAGCAAAGCAAACTTTGTACAAGTAACTTCACTGCTGGCTGCAACAATTCCCTCGCTGTAAAACTGGAATAATGTAAAGCAGCTTAAAATATACAGGTAAGAAGTTGTGTGCTTAGTTTCTAATATCACAAGTACTTTTTTTGTTGCTGTTAGTTTGGAGTGCCAACTCTTCCTCTTTATAAAAGTACAGAACAGGTCTGTTCAGAAAGACACATCTTGGTGATTCCCTTCACCACCCATCTTGTCTTCCACACAAGGGGATTCTTTTCCCCTTTGGAAATGCTGGGTTTTGTTCCACCTTCTTTAAAAGACATGAAGTTAATCCTTTGAGGCTCTGCTGTCTTGGTTGCTTGTAACTGTTCTGCCAGTTAGCCACTAAGGCAGAAAAACCTACCACGGTGCAGTCAGACTGGGGGTTCCACACTGCATCTCAGCTGTAAATAGGGACTATTACAATTCTGAGTCTTCAGTGAAGAAACGCATCCAGCACTGCTGGGACCTGCAGCTGGTTTGGGAGGCCTGAGCTCCAAACCTGCCATGAAACGCCTCCTCCAGCAGAGCCCTCCTTACCTTGTTGACTCGAGACATGACAGCAAAAATAGCTGCATCACTCATGACTGTAGTTTCAATGTTCTCTTTGGACAGTCGGACAGCCATTTCATGACCCTAAAAAGAGGGAGAATCCAATTGGTCCCCTGAGACATAGCTCCTGCACTGCAGTTGTGGGGATATTAGCTCTCAGTTCTTGTCTGAAACACAAAAATACCCAGTGATGGAGCACAAATAGAGCCTTCCTGACAAAGGACACAGGGTAGGATAAGTCCACTGCAGAGGAACTTCCACGATGTTCAGCTTCCCTCCAGAGACAAGAGTTCAGTAAGAACGTGAGGGACAACGCGGAGCCTGGAGAAGAGAGCGAGCCCAGGCCTTACCTGGCAGAAGGGCGCACACTCCGCCACGATGACCTGGAACTTCCTCTTGCGGGCAGCTTCCTTCAGGAAGGCCTCGACGGTGCGCGAGTAGCCAATGGTCATGATCACCTCGTTGGAGTGGATGTGCTCCAGCGCCTGCATGGCAATGTTATCCGTGGTGCCCTCTGTAACAGAAGGAAGCCATGGGTGGAAAAAGCAGGCAGGAAAAAGCAACACTTGTGCTGCTAGAGCTGTCCTCCAACAAGGTCATTTTTCACTAAAGCAATGCTGTGAGCACTGGTACAGCTCTTTTTATCAGTGGAGAGGGACCAAGAAGCTGGCCTTTGCCCCGTGTTCCCTAGCTACTCATAGAAACAGCTGTATTGAAAACTCCATCATGAGGGGAGCAATTGTGTCAGCACTGCTGCAGATGACCACCGTGCCCACAATACAACCAGCGACAGAAATCCAATGGCGTTACAGTTCAGTAGCACTAGAACCATGTGGAAAGGAAGGGCAGGGCTACCTGGGCCACAGAGACCTCAGAAGGGGAGTCGGGTGCCTGATCTGTCACAAGATTGCAGGAAAATAAAAATGTATCACAGTGCTTTGTGATAAGGGTCAGGTTATACGCGCAGAGGGATCAAGTCCAACCTTGGCGTATTTTTGATACGCTTCTGAAAACTCAAGACTTCCCAGGAGACCAAGAGCACAGGCCAGTAGCCCCCCCACACTGTTCCCTCCACAATGTTCCACCCATCTCCCTGTAAGCCAAAGAGGACTTAGTCCAAGTCCTGGGAGCAGGACTAAGCCCTTGCTGTTTTCTTTCCACCTAAGAGGAAGTCCCACCCCATAAGAATCTCCACTCATGGAGCAGTTCAGACCCATCCGTACCCAGCTCTATTAGCAGCTCATTAATAGCTTCAATAACGTTAGCTCTGAGGGGAGGATAAGGGGTGTTGAAATCCTCGCTCAGTCCTCCGGAAGTCAGGAGTTTGTGCAGGGATTCTTGCTGGTCGCTTTCCTCACTGCGCCCGTGAAGCCTGTGGAGAGAAGCAGCCCTTCAGCCTCAGCAGAGAGCACAGGGGCACGGCCAGGCCCCATAGTGCCCAAGTAGTGTGGCACACCTGGATGTGAACAGAGAGGAAGGAAAATCACACACAGGAGCCACACCACACCATGGAGCTTCCCCAGCTGTTTCTGGCAGGACACCCAAAGCTCTGCCAGGAAGCACCTTCCTAAGTCACCTGTAAATGCTGTAGCCCACAGAGGAGGTGCAGGCTAAAGGCTACTGCTCCAGTAGGATGGACCCTCCCGGGAACGCAAGGAGAGGACAGCCTGAGGTCAGGGCACAGAGCGTTCTCACACACCCACACCACGTAGACCAAGAGGAGTTTCACTAAAGGAAACATCACCAGCTATGCTGAGAACACCAGGTTTCCTTTCATGTTAAACTTGTTGAATCCCTCTATAGGGGAGGCTGGAAAAGGGTGTGACAGAAACTAAAGGGCTCTCACAAAAGCAGCAGAACACACAGTGTGGGAGGGCTGTTCTGGGCTCCCAGGAGGGGTACAGACAGCCAAGAGGGGTGCTTCACCTGCCATACTCTTCCCGAATGATCTTCAGCACTCGCCGCACCATGTTGCCCACGGTTGTCTCGGAGGGCTGGGCTGCCGTCATCCTCTGGCCCTCTGTCCGGATCAGATCCATGAGTTCCCCTGGAAGAGGGGAGGGCTTTGCTTATCACTGCCAAGAGCGAACCCATGCGAGCGCCAAACCAACGCCTTCACCCCACAGCAGCAGCACAGCCAGGGGCTGGCTCTGGCACCAGCACCAAGGAAAAGCACAGGGACACGAGCAGTCGGTGCCATCGGGTTTTCTGTAGCACGAATCGCTCGGATGCAAAGCAGACTCGGGACTTCTGGCACACCGTGAGTTCAGTGGAGGAGGGAACCGCCCGCTGCCGGACTGCGCAGCGTTGGGCGATGCCACTGAGGAGCCGGGCGAGCAGCTTCTCAGCCCCTGGCATCACCACGCACAGCAGGCAGGAAAG